CCCGGGGGCAAGTCGGGATGAGGGGGCCCGTTCGGCTCCTGAGGCGCAGTGGTGGGCTGGTTAGCAAGGCGTGATGCGCTTAAAGCGGCACCGCCGCTGCACCTGTCCTCCTGGAGTCGTCGAATTCTTCTGTGCTGTCCGCACATACAGTGGTACGGCAGGTGGTTTCTTCCTTCGCCACACCCCCTGCCGCCCCCTCAATCCGGTTCCCTTTAGGTGTCGCTGCCAGAGGCGAGCGTGATCTGCCGCCACCAGTGGATGCGCGACGCGCTGCAGACGCTGGCGCAGTCCAGGGGCTGGGACCTGGGCACGGCGGGCGGGCAGGGCGACGCCGCGGGGCCGCCTGGGGCGCAGTTCGACTCTGGATCGGCGTCGCTTTGAGCCGGGCTGCGGGCACAGCTGCGGGCGCGCAGGGACGTCAGGAGGTGGCCGCAGCTGCGAAGCTCTGGCGTGCAGGCAGGGCTGAGCGGCGCCTGTGTCATATGCCCCGGGGTGCTGGGGCGCGCGCCGCTGGCGCTGCCAATTGGGGCCATTCATGCATTCCCCCGCCTCAAGGGTAGCAGCCGCGCGGATCAGCATGATCCCTGAAATCAGGCGCCGGCGTAGGCAGTTGCGCAGTGACGTGCCCGTGCATAATTGCCTGCGCGCGCACCCGCCCCTGGGCAACCCCTCGCCGAGCCATTCTGGGGGTCGGACTCAGCTATCCTGGGCGTTTCCCGATTCGCTTCTTTTTTCTCAGATAGTTCACTGGGCTGTTCCGGCCAAGCGTCTGGCCCTGCCTCGCCCCACACAGCGCGCACCTGCCGCGCGCCCGCGCGGGCCAGGTGGAGCGCCCTTCACAGGGACATCCCACTGGCTCGACGCATCCCGGCATGCCGCGTTTCCCACGTAGTTATCGCCAAGCGCACTTCTTGCCGCGCGGCCGCCGCCATGTGGTTGGACCACCATTCTTGCCACCATTTTTCTGCTACATATGTAATCAATATGTTTGGCAAAACCGCACGGAGTAGCAGGCTGGATCCATGTGGGGCTGGCTGCACCCAGGGTGCTGAGGTGCGGGCATGCCCAGGCCGCAGCTCGCTCCATCTTTGGCAGTAGGAAGCACAGGAGACCACCATAATTGCTGCTCACTGTATGCCAAAGAGCAACAATGCTCACGGCGGACAAACAACGGAAGCAGCCCGTCTGCCACCCCGCGCCATCTCCCTCGCTCCTTGCTGGACCAGGGTCCCTAGCGGCGCTGGCATGCCACACCGCGCGTGCTGCACTGGGGCGTCAGACCTCGAAACCCGCATCAATTCTTACAGAAGAAGATGTTGAGTTTTTATGGTTGCAGGCCACTCGTGGTTTGAACTTGTCTCGGCGCGTTGTGAGCTAGCGCGTGGACATCCATCGCAGACAGTAGCAACAGATAATCAAAATAAACAACACATGTCGGGCCGTATGCAGCTCGTCGTGCCCGAGATCGTGTGCAGAGCAGCGCAGCTAACAGATCATCGATGAGCGGGGCTTAAATTTGCACCTGAGTCCTCAGGATGGTGGCTCACACGGCCGTGGTGCTGGCTGTGACGACCGTGGTGGTGCTAGCGTCCTCCTGCTACAAGGTCCTCTTTGAGACCCCCAAGGTACGGCTTTCGGGATGAGAGCTCTCTTTGAAGCGACTTGCGGTGAGACTACGCGCCCTGGCACGGCCACGGCGTCACCAAGCCACCCTCGCCAACCCGAGCAGGTGTACTTTGACCACGATGCCTCGGGCTCCTTTGGATCGATTGGACCGCTTGGATTTGCCAACGCCAGCCTCGTGGATGACAGGTGGCTGCAGAGTCCGTCGCGAGTTTCGGCGCCGCTGGGCGACGTCGGCTCCTGCGCTGTTGCGCCAGCAGCATTCGTCGCGCGGATGCAGGACGTTGCAGCCCTCACAGCAGTGTGCCTTGCGCCGCCAGGCGCGGCTACTGGCGGCGCTGCTGGGGTGCCGGCAGGGGCGGGTGTCGCCACCACTGGCACGGCAGCAGAGTTGGTTGGCAAGGGTGGTGGCCACGCACAAGACCGCGGCACAGACGCAACTCTTCAAGCTGTCACACACATGCACACAATCCAACAAGTGGATGGCGATGCAGCAGCAGCTCCACAACTACACGCAGCCGGTGACGATGGCGATGTGATGGCTGACCTGGCACAGCCGCTGCAACAACAGCAGCGCATTGAAGCGGTGGAGCGGGAGCAGGAGAGGTGCCAGGAGCAGCAGCAGCAGTTGGAGGAGGTGGAAGAGCAGCAGCAGCTACTGGGGCAGCAGGAGCAGGCGCAGGAGGAGCAGGAGGGGCAGGAGCAGCAGCAGCAGCAGCTGGAGGAGGGAGCAGTAAAACAGCAGCAGCACCAGCAGGAGCAGACAGCGATCCTGCCTCTGCAGCTTGTCTTTGCTGCTGGCATACAAGGGGTCCTGCCCACATGCACCCTTGCCAGCATGACAGGGGCTGCCACCTTCACAGCAGGCCTGGCCCCAGCGGGCCTGCAGTGCGTGGCAGCCGATTGGGACGGCGCGTGCAAGGACGCGGACGCTTGTGTGGACGCGCCACGCGCCGACGCCTGCGCCCAGCCTTCGCTGCAGTCGCTGCTTGGCCGCACAAGGCCGCTTGAGGCGCGGCTTACCAGCGCCGGCTCGTTGCAGGATGCAGCCAGCGACGCGTGGCCAGGACAGCAGCTGCAGCAGCAGCAGCAGCAGCAGCAGGAACAGCAGCAGGAACAGCAGCAGGAGCAGCAGCAGGAACAGCCGCAGCTGCAGCCGCCGCCCCTGGCTTACACGCTTGTGGGCTTGGCATGGGCCGTCGCTGCGGCCGCGCTCATCGGGGCCGCCGTCTGTGCACGCCACATCGGCACGCTGGAGGCCCGCTGGTGGCTGGCGCTCGGTCGGCAGAAGCAGATACCAGTCTGCGTGCCGCCGCGCTCGCCCCAGGAACAGGCAGCCGTCCTGCTTCTGCGAGAAACGTGGCAGCAGGCGCGCAGTTGGGAGTGGCTCCTGGGTTTGGCGGGCGCGAGCGCGGCGGCGTTGCAGCAGATGGACGGCCAGCGGCGCGCCGCGAGGCAGCAGGCGCGCGCGGCGGCGGCGCTCGCGCGCCGCTTGCTCGCGCAGCAGGCGGCGCGGCTGGACGCGCGGCAGGCGGAGGCTGTGGCGCAGCTGCGCGGGGAGCTGGAGGCGGCGGCGGCGGAGCGCGAGGCGGCCCTGCGCGCGGCGGCGGCGGCCGAGGCGGACGCGCTGCGCGCGGACGCGGACGAGCGCGCGGCGGTGATGCAGAGCGCCGCGGACGCGCGGGCCGCGGAGCTGCGGGGGGAGGCCGAGGCGCGCGAGGCTGCGCTTGCCGCGGCGGCTGCAGAGCGGGAAAGCGAGCTGCTCCGCGAGGCAGCGGCGCGCGAGGCGGATCTCGCCGCCCAGGCGGGGGCCCGCGAGGCCGCGCTCGAGGCGCAGGCCGAGGCGCGGCGCGCGGAGGCCGACGCCGCGTCCGAGCGCCGCGCCGCGCTCGAGGCCGATCTGGAGCGCGAGCGTGCGCGCGGCGCCGAGCTGGCCGCTGCGCACGAGGCGCTGCAGGAGCGCGCGCAGCGGCAGGCCGAGACGGCGGCGGTGCTGCGGGCGGCGAAGGACGAGCTGGCGGCGCGCGCGGAGGCGCTGCAGCGGGAGCGGGACGCGGCGGCGGCGTTGGCGGCGGAGGGGAGGGAGGCGCTGTCGCGGAGCGAGGGGCGGGTTGAGGTGCTGGAGCGGAAGGCTGTCCAGGTGGGTGCCAGCCAAACACCTGCAGGAAGGGCGCGCCAAGGTTGCGGCGTCTGCGGGCGGCGGCCGAGGGTCGGAGGCGCGCGGCGTGGGCAATGCAGCGATCGCGCGGACGATGCCGCTCCGTCGGTCGATCACGTGCGCGGGCGGGCTGGCAGCAACGCGCACGTGAGGCGGCTTGCCACGAAACCAGGGGCCGAGCCCTTCGACCCTCCAACCAGCGCCCCGCCGCCGCCGCCCTCCCCCTGAAACGCGGAAACAAAACCAGGTGGGCGTGCTGTCCGTAGAGAAGCACGACCTCGAGCAGGCGCTCTCCGCGGCGCGCGCCGATGCCGACGCGCTGCGCGGCCCAGCCGCGCGTGCAGCCGAGGCCGAAGCGTCCCTCCGCGAGGTCGCGCAGCGGCTGGCGGCGCTGGGGCGCGAGGCGGACGCGCTGCGGGGGGAGCTGCGGGCGGCGGAGGAGGCGGCGGCGCAGCAGGAGGGGCTGCTGGAGGAGCGCGAGGCGACGCTGCAGGAGTTGAACGAGGAGAAGCAGGTGGGACCCAGGGGTACGCGACTGGGGTTGTTAAGCTGCCAGGATTTTGGAGTTTGCTGCTTGACGCAAGAGTATCCAACTTTGTCGCGGCGTGCTTCATGCTACATCGCACCTCATTCCATGCCGCGCAAAGCCGGCTGTCAAAGGCGACTGCTTTGCCGCCGCCCCCTGTCTTCCCCTTTCCACGCGCCGCAGGCGCTCGAGGTGGCCGTGCGCCACGCGGAGGCCCGCGCGGCGGAGCGCGCGCACACGCTGCTGCAGGCGCAGGAGTCGATCAACGAGCTGCAGGGGATGCTGTCGGAGGCGGAGGAGGAGGCGGCGGAGGTCGCGCGGCTGCAGGACGCGCTGGCGGAGACGAGGGACGCCCTGGAGGTCGCCCAAAAGGTAGGAGGGTGGGACAGCGGGCATGGGGGGATCGGGGGGGTCGCAGGGG